AAAAAAAAAAAAAAAAAACCTTTCACTAATTCCTTTCAATTTGTACATTTTACTCTACACAGACGATTTTTATTTCAAGTTTTTGTAAGAATAACTTTACCGAAAACAATCAGCTCGACGTATTTTAAGGTGCATTGAATATAAAGATCTCACTTCCAACCCACTGACAGCAAAAGAGATTCGCGGATAAATGCACCGAAAATTACAAATTATTAAATTATACTACAAATTTTCATGTTTTATAGTCAGTGATTTTTCCATGGTTTTTAGTACTAACATTAACTAATAGATCATAACTATCAATGGTTTGAGGAATTTGTTATTTGAAACTCTGAGTTGAAATGAATACAGCAATAATTTCATCCCAAATTTGACAAAAAAGTTGTCTTCATTACTAACCTTCCTTTACTCGTAAGAATCATTTCGTTTTGATACCGATGAAATTCTTCCCAAAGTTTGCGCTGTGAAATATCTACACGAATTTTTTCATTTACCACAAGCATTTCACACTTTTGAGATGCCAAAACGTCATTCATGACCTTCTGCAACACTGGATTTTTTTCTGTACTTGAAGTCATTGCTGAAATCATAATTCACTGCAATGAAAATGTTACAATTTTGTCTACCCCAAATGACGCATAAAATGATAATTAAATTAAAAATAAGTAATAAACAAAGTTGTAATTAAACTTTTTAAGAGATTCAACAAATGCAGAAATTAAGAATAGCGTAACAAATTTATGCATAGAAATTATGAGAAAATAATTGTTTTTCTCAAAAAAACTCCTTACTTTTTCAGACCTTTTGACAGATATTGCAGAATTCTTTTTTGATTAATCAGTTAACATTTTAAAAAAAATTCAAAAAAAACTCTCAAAAGGTATGGCGTTTTTTTTTTTAAATAAAAAATTAGATTTTTCACACTAAAATTGAAAAAAATCAAAATTAATTTTTAATTTCTTAAACTAAAAACGATTATTTGTCTTGACTAATTTACACTTTAAAAAGTACACATTTTTGATTGTGCAAATTCAAGATGAGGTGACATTCACAGAATTAGCAACAAATCGAAGAGACAGGTGAATTTCTTGGCGAGTTCTGCTTCAAATCTGCCCATTACAGTACCATAGCATTACAAAACTCCTCCCATTCATTCTATGAGTCAAAAGTGCTATCAGCTATACGATAAGGCGAATTATTCTTGTACTTATTATTAATAGATAATATTAGTGGTAACGTAAAAATAACGTTAAAGAGGCAAGATGTTATGTCATTCAATCTTTTCTGCTAAAGTCAGAGTAAAGTTCAAATTTTTCCAATAAATTGATTAAAATCACGGATAAATTTTAATTTAAATGTAAAATAATGACGACTGAGAATGAATAATTTTACAAAAATATTTCTCACAATGAATTTTCACACGATTTTTTGATGATTTTATAAAAAATTTTTAAAATAAAAATTTTTGTTTTTACAAAAATTTTATACGTTGTGGTAATGGAAACGAAAATTATGCATGTATACTTAGTATATGATAAAAAACAAAAAAAAGATTTTTTTAATTTTTCAAAAATTTAAAAAGTATTTTTGGCAATATTACAGTTATAGATAGTATTTAGAGTGAGAGTACAAAGGTAAAATGTTATTGCTTGTTCAAGTAATTTATGATCGAATTATAAATAGCGGTGTTATGTATAATACTGAGAAGCGGCGTTATAATGTATTCAAAAGTAGTAACGCAACAGATTATTTAGAAAAACAAACCGCGCAACTGTTATAAAAAGGAATCGATGACAGTTTACTTGTATGCCGACAGATATGTACGTGACTACTTGACCTAATCTGACAAAAATTATGATTAGTCAATCAGCTGTTTTTTTATACTGTTTTATGAACCAGCTGTTCAGTTCAATTCATATCTGCTATTAGCACTGAATATAAAAAGCAAACTTTTTGCTACATTATTTTAGCACTCTGTTCTGTGCTAAATAATTTTTTATGCAGTTATAAATAAATACATTTATTGACAAATTATGTCATGCTCTATAATAGTAGTAGTAATTTCAGGGTATTTACTTCAGATAAAATCAATGCAATTTGCATTATCATTGAACTTATGGGATTATCACTTTAGCTGGCTTAACTTGCCATAATTTATGGTTAAATTTTGGAGACGAAATTGTAGCAAGCAATTTAGACTTTTTAATATCACGTGAATTATTTTTTAGGTAAAAATTGAAACTGAAAAGTAAAACTTTCATTTTGCAAATTAATATTTATTTCTCTTTGATAAAATTCTGTACAATTGATTGTTCCTCAAAAAATTAATCTATCGTAGTAAATTTATGTTTTTCATTACTTGATACTTCGAATAACTTAAAAACTTGATTTTTATTGCTTGAAAATTTGAATAATTATACAAGGATGTGATTTTCAAAAATGTCTCTCAAAAATTTTTACAAACACGCAATGCAAACATTATATTACTGAAAGCTGAATATATATGAATAAATTATAAATTTAAGTTTGTAAATATGCAAGTTAAACTGACTTCCAACACTATGCATTATTTATTCTGCTTCATTACCTCATTAAAATTACTTTAATTACCAAAAGAAATGATTCTATTTGAATTCACATTTTGTTTATCCATCCGTTTAATATGCTATTACTCACTTATTTACTTCCGTTTGCTTACCGAAATATTCTGACATTTGCCACGTGACACTTGCCATTATCACAGTCGGTGGTATTGTATTGTGAAGCGCATCAAACTAATGATTACTTTAGGTGAAGTTGGGCATTACTGTACATCAAGAAATATGTCTCATTCAAGTAACACATGCAACTAAAATATAGCGGAAAATTGTTGAATTTTGTCAGATACACAAAGATAATTATCATTTAGTAGACAAAAATGAGCGAATACAAAACGACAATCAGATAAGCTGACGCCAAGTAAATCTGTTACTATATCTTTGCAGCACGGTAAATTGCAGAATTGTGCGTCTTGGATTGTGGTGTGATTGATGCATTCGTACCAAAGCCTTACTGAAGTTAATTACTTCACATGCATATGACTTTTATTCAAAGATTTATTGTGATGTTTTGTAGAAGAACTGATAGAACGCATTCTTCTCAGTTACTTAATATATTGAAATATTTATTAGAAATTATAGACAAAACAGTTTATTTTTTAAAATTATATGCTCAAAGTTTAGATATTCTGAAAATGTATAGTAAATATTTGCAGTTCAAGCACAGTTAAGAATAATTTTTAAAAACTGAATCCAAAAATATACATTTTACAGTAAGTCAGTGATATGTAATTTGTTGGTGCAAGTTTAGAATAAATATGTAATAGAAAAAGTGAATCAAAATTTGATATACCCAGTTTGATTTCAAGTTCAAAAAATAACATTGCAAGAATGCAAATTAAAAATAACATAATTATTTGAATTTTTTCAATTCTGCACATTGGAAAAGTAAATTTGAATAGCAAAAATTATCATAATAATACTGATTATTATCAAAATATTACACTCTTCTTTCTTATAAGTCATTTACATCTTTGCCAGCGTTATGTTCGGTTAGTACAAATTTATTCTGAGCAATAAATTGCCACGAATTGATGAATTATTATTCGAATTATGATTCATTTGGTTCTGAGCAAAAAAATTTTTAAACTAATTTAAACGGATGTATTCCAGTACTTCGAGTTTTTATTGTCAGTTTTATTCCTAAAACAAAATAAGCTTGGTCCTCTTATATAGTACCATATAAAGTTCTCATTTTTGTACAACTTCAAGAAGCTAACTTTGCTGGCAGTAAAAGTGCCAGATATTACTGTTTCAGTTTTTTATCTTGCTCTTCTAACTTGCATGGTAGAGAAAACCACACAAATGGTAGCGTACGAAGATCTCAATTTGATCCATGACGAAGAGGTTTAGGATACTGCCATATTTGTGCTCTTATGTACTACTCTTTATGATCTGAAAATAACAAAAATATATGAAGAATTATTTCAGTCATTCTCATCATTTTGAACCAAAATACCAAAAAAGCCCTTGTTTCTATTTATTCGTACAGAAATGATAATATTTTAGTACTATTAAAATGCCTTTTACAGTATCGACAGTTTTGCCGCAAATCGTATTTTCAAAAAGGCGATGGTTATAAAATAATGCAAATTAATAAAGCAGCCAGAAATGAATTTATAGTCATACAAGCTGCAAAAGTTAATACAGAATGCAAGTAATTTCTTAAAATTGGATTTTAGCATCACTTACATTAAGTATTTTCATTAAAATTCTGCAAGTTAATTAATTGTTTAATAATAATAATATTTATTCGCAGTTTGAACTTTATCAGATATCAATTCTGAAAATAAACATTGCTCAAGTAAGAAAGTTATCGCCCTTGCAGTTTTCAACTGACTGCGCTATCAAAATCAAACGACGCAATCACTTTGTACAACATTTTTCCAACTGATCACACCAACCAAAATGTTATAGTTGTGGTTGGTTCTTTTATTGTAAATACTTATTGTATATAGTAAACCCGTAATAGCAATATTTTGTCTATAAAATTATTGCAAATAAAAAGTGTAAAATAAAATGCAAATTTATTTGAGCGGCCTATAATCAGAAAAATGGAATGATAACGAAAAATTATATAATCATAAATTAAGCAATGTTAGATTATTTCTCAAGTAATCCTATACTATTTACAATTGAAAATCTAATTCTAAGCTATGATGTAGGTAGCATGCAGCAAACTATTACACAAAGCAAGCTATTTTCGCATTTGGTACCACAATGGAGGTATTCTGCGCAAAAAACCACTCAGTGATTCAGAAGGCCTAAAATACGTGCAGCTTTCTCCAGAACCCAGATGTACTGCGGGCAACCCTGTTGCTGTAAATAAAACTAATGCATTCGTGCATGTAACGATGTTAAGAATGCGTTTACCAGTAAGAAAATGTTAATTCAAGATAGTCAAAAGATATTTTGGCATTCATGATTCAAATATTCTCAAAAAAGTATCACAAAGATATTAATTTTCTACGCTAAACGATTACACATCAATTGAGGGCAAGTTTTGAACAAAGTTACAAAAACTGTTTCTTACAGTTTTCATGAGTGGAAATTTGATAATTGCAACAAAAAATAATCATGCATTTAAGCTTACAAATGAAACTGAAGAAATATGGAGGAACATTGGAAATGCACCTGATATGCAAGTTCCAAAGTTTCGAACATACAGTAAATTATTATCATTTAATTTATTCAAATTATTAACTCATTGTAAGAATTGATTATGAAGTATAACTTGCGCATTTAATTGGCTTTGAAATACAATCTCAACAAACATTGACTGTATAAGTAAACTAATTTACTCCATATTACAGATACGTTAACAAACTATCAGAAGAGTATATTCGTACCGGACTCTTATATTGGTAAACATTCTTCAACGATTGCTCCAGACAATTCTGTCACATTTATGATCATCGCTTTGGTTCCTTTCATTTTTAGCATTTATCGCTGTTGATGCTTGAATTTTTGCTCATATACTACACATATATAGAAAGCAGTGTGAAATTTTGTTATTAGTTTTCGCATAGCAATAAATAAATGATTTTTATATTAAAATTAATACATGCAGCAAACACGAGCTTATTTCTGATGCCGCAAACCTCACTTCATCGAATATATCATCCTTTTTTTACTTCTATAAAAATTCAATTTTTTGATGCTAAAAATTTATAAACAATGTCAATATTTGCAATGCAAAGGAATAGTTACGATATTATCACTACTACCACACGGAAAAATAAATTCATTCTTTGTCTATTTTTTATGCAAATAAATAGTTTTTAAAAATATAGCATATATCTGCCTAGCAACTTTTATAGTATAATTGGGACTAAGTTGATTTAATAAAAGAAAAAAAGAGTTCAACAGATTAAAATAAATTAAAACCAATTAATTAATTAAAGCCAAAAAATTAAAACTGATAAATTAATTAACGCTAGAATAAATTGTTAATAAATTCATTACTCTATAAAATTAATAAAGTAATCTCATAAAGTTATCATAATTCTTTCCAATTTAATTCTTTTAACAAAAATTGCCTTATGTATCAATAATTTATACAATTAAAAAATAATTTATGTAACTAACTCAAAATATATTTAATTCTCTTAATTACTATCAAAACGTAACTGTTTCGCTTTCGTCTATTATCTCTTCTGTTTTGGCATTTTATCAATGCTCTCTTTTATCTCGCACTTTCTTTTCCATACTAACAACTCTCAAACTCTACACTGCTTTTTGATTTAAAAATGTGATTGATGTCTAGAGTATCTCACATCAAGTCTCTCTATTAATTTCTTTCTCAACCTCTCACACATTGCTTAAGTTTTTGTTTAAATCTCTCACTTTATTTTAATAACATTATGTTACAAATTTTTTATCTCAAAGACAGGCTTGCTAAATAGTTGCAAACACAAATGTGCAGAGAACGAAATTTTGTACATATCAAATATTTTGAAGTTTAAATTTTTGCTGCATTTCATTATATGTATTAAATTATTTTCTCCAGCAGACTAATTCGAAATTTACATGAAGAGTTTGTCAAACTGATGTGTATTTGGGTGAGTAGAAAATTATACATCAAGTTATGTTTATTTTAACTAATCATATCAAATTAATCATGTATTTAGTGGTAACCTATTATATATTTTGTAAATTTCATTACGAATAGTTTTGATTCTGCGTGTTCGGTATGGAAGTGGAAATAAAAGAATTCAGAAACGCTTCGTTATCCAGTGGGTATGTTCTTTTACTAAGCTTCTTAAGGATGATTGCTGATTTTTGTATTAGTTGAATATTAAAACAAGTAATTAGGACAAAGCTAACGCGCTTTTAATATTTTATTTTGTAATCTGTCTGTTTTTTGAATAATCTAAAAGTTACTTCCGCATAGTTCTTCGTTTTCATTCTTATTCATAAATTCAAGAAAGTTTTTTTTGTGATTCGATCTATTGGATATATTTTATAAAGTCGCAATGGAGCGACAGGAACATTAAGAAATGAAGATTTTCGGCAGTTGCTGACAAAAAAACTAATTCAAACATCAGCAAATACTAATGTTGCACCTACGCAACCGACACATTCGTTTAGTCACCGTCAGGCTTCAGAGTGAGTTATTTTAATAATATTTTGTTCATAGTTAATAGTCTGTAAACAACAGAAAATAATTTTTACAAGTGTAGCTTATATGTTTTGTTGATTTTGGTTAGTTCTGCAGTCTTTACGAAAATTTTCTCTACAGTACGAAAAGAAACCAAATTTCTGTAACAAAAGCAAAGAAGCAAAAGGAACGAAGTGGCGTAGAGGATGAAGACGATGTATTCGGTTTGCATTACAAATTTATTTTTAAAGTGCATAAGTTGAGAGTGTAAAGATTTTATTAGTTTATTTATTTTTGTTACTATCCCAGTAAAATGATGAAGTATTTTTTTTCAATTATAATAAGAAAACAATTTTACAGGGCCATCTAATTTGAATGAAATCTTGAAAAATTATCGTGATCGAGCTGAAGAAAGACGGAAAGGTATTGGAAAAGATGATATTGTCGATGATCTTCAAGTAAACAATGGTTATCGAGCAGTGCCTGGAGATGTGAGAGCGACGGCTGATGCAGCTCAGCGTCGTAAACAGGCTATTCAGGTGCAAATTAAATATTGGTGCATTATTTAAATATTTCTTAGCTGATTCTTCAATTTTCTATTTAAGACGAAGAAACCAAATTTTATATCTGGTGTGATGATAAGTTTGATGAATATGAAATACCAGTTTACAGGAAAGTAAGTATCTTGGTGGCGATATGGAACATACTCATTTAGTAAAAGGTTTAGACTATTCTTTATTGCATAAAGTTCGTTCGGAAATAGCTATGAGAGAGCAGAAGAATGAAGAAGTTTTGGAGTCCCAGTGTAATGTTAGTATAAATTTTCTAAACTTGAGCAATTTTTTATTTGTTTTTTAGTATCTATATATACTAAAATATATATATAATTAGGTAGTATGATTTTAATTATACCTATTATGAACATTATTATCTCTTGATTTCATTCATATTTTAGAAGGATAGCCAAAAAGGTGAACCACAGTCAGATAATAGAATGGTTCGAAACATTCATCGAGTTTTGTTTCAGAATGAGATTCCAGCCTGTAATGAATTGTTTAGGTAATATTGCTTACCTGTTGTGATTTTCGTACTTTATTATTATCCCTCTATCGATTTAATCTTATGCTTGTTGATGAAATTCAGAAAGGGACGTATGGCTTATGTTGTCGATTTAGAAGAAGAAGATAACGATTTGCCAACCACTTTGTTACGCTCTGTTCATGATTGTCCAGCAACAGAAAGCAGTAGTGATATCAACGCCAACAATATGCTAATTCAGGTAATTAAAATCAAGTACTTCGTGAGATGAAACTAAAAAATAATTAATTTCCTAGTTTTCAGAAACTCACTCAAGTTTTGTCATACTTACGTGCGAGCGCGCAGAAAAAAAAGAAAAAAGTAGAGAATGCAAATGAGGAGCATGTCAAGTTAGCCTCACAGCCAATATTTGACGATGAAAGAGATTTAGCTACATCTAAAAATGATCGAGAACGAGAACGACGTGATCGTGATCGAAGACGTCCCAAACCTTCTTCGTGAGTGTGATTAAAATTATTGGCTCTCTCTCTCTATTTTATAATTATTTGAAATTCATTCCTTTAAATATTGCATAAGAACTCATGTTTTGCAATATTTTGCTTTTTTTAAAGTTGACACCATATGTTCGTTAAATTGTGTTCACAATTTCACATCGAACTTATTCTTTTATGATTTAGATACTTCGATGATCGTGAATCAGATCGTGATAGAGATAGAAATCGTGAGCGAGACAGAAATCATTACGAACGAAGTAAAGATCGTAGGCGAGATGACGAAAGACGTACTGAGCGTCGTGAAGAAACAACAAAATCGGTGGAAAATGATGCAAATTCAGAAAAAAAGATGAAGTTTCGTATGGAAACAGAAGGTTATGCAGAGTGCTATCCTGGTGGCATGTATGAAGCAGCTGGAGAAAGCGATGACGAAGCTGATTATTCTAAAATGGATATGGTCAGTTTCTTTTTGTAGTTTCATGCATTCATGTAATGTCGGGCTTAAAAAACTTCACATCGTTGCTCAAAGTATAATTTTCAGGGGAACAGACGAGGTCCAGTAAAACGTTGGGATTTTGAAGACCACGAAGACTATGAAAAATACATGGAATCAAAAGAAGCTATGCCAAAGTAATCGCCTATTTACTCTTAAGCTAGAATTTTATCTTTTGTAGTAGTACATTTAAAATTTGAATTTCGTAGACGATACAAAAAATGCAGAAACAAATATCAGCATGGTTATTGTGTGGTGTTCATCACAGTATTGTAAAAACTTGCGTTAAATTTCTTTAAATATTACATTTAGAAGAAGAGAAAATAGGTCGTGCTTTAATTCTGATCATATATGATACTTGATATTTGCATCTGTCTCTTATTTTGAGCCATTAAAGACATTTTTTGCAGGGCAGCGTACCAATTTGGATTGAAAACTAATGATGGACGAAAAACTAGAAAGAGTGTCCCAGATCGAGAGAAACATAAACTGGATCGGGAATTTTCTGAAATAACCAAAATGCTTGAAAAACGAAAAATGGAAGGCCAGATGTCGTAAGTCCTACTTACAGATAAGAATTTTCTATCAGGTCATAATGTACTAGTTTCACTTTAAAAGTACGAAATATGTCTGTCACTTACATATCTATGAACCGCTAGGCTTTGTTCCAAATGTTGCAAATTTTTTCACATCATGTATTTTAATTTGCATACAGTATTTTAGAATTATTTTAGTGATGTTGCAAAGCGAATCAAATATTAATGGTACCCTAAACGAGGCTGAATGAAAATTCACGTCAGCTCACAAATTCTTTGATCCATAATTTTGCAATTCTGCATGTGCTGCATTCATTCCTTAAAACCTTAAGATTCAATTACTCATTTAGTTATATGTAAAAAAACTACTCATTCTGGCATTTCCTCAGAATTTTTTTAAATATGAATATTAGTTAGTAGTTCCTTTAACTTTCAGTACAAGAACTTTTCCGTGTCACTGAATGTGTGTCTGAAAAAGGAAAAGGCTGAAGGCGCTTAGAGATTTTCTCGCTGAAGGCTTAATGCTTTGACTGCTTATTTTTCTTCAGTATTCTTACCTTTGCAGTAATTAAGGAAATCATTATAATATTCAAAAAAAAAAAAAAATCCCACTATATCTTTAGGATTTTCTTCCATCAGTCACATTCAGCTGCGCAGTAAAATTAGCTTCCATATACAAAATAAGGGATAACAGCGTATGTTGTGTAGCTATTTGTGAGATTTGTCAAATAAACGTTCTTCACATCTTGAGCATTAAATGGAGATGTGAAAGTAAATGAAAGAACTCATTATTTAGACCCAACTGTTTTATTGCATACACTTGAGAAAATTATGTACTATGATTCCTTTCGTACCAAAACAACGGGTTACAGGAATTGTCATAAAATTCGTGGAATCTCATGTCTCCATCGTGCATTAATTATTGCATGGAATATCCAAGTGAAATTATACATGTGTAAACGATTGAAGTAAAAAATCCTTTATTAATTTCTTCTAGCCGCTCAATAGAACCAGCTAATTTCTATGCGAAATGTAGGAAGAGCAGCGTACATAAGTTTAAAACAGTCATAAAATAAGATCACTGAGATTTCTTTATACCCATAACTATCTGTAAGAATTGTCGAGCAAACTTCATAATAGTGCAGGAATGAGTTAAATGAGATTAGAATCTATGAATTTGTAGTGATATCATGAAAATATTGAGAGACTTCATGTGGCGTATTCAGCACTTGCGACATAGATGTCAAAGTTTGAGTAAGATGCTATACAAAGGCAGCATTTTCGATATATAATTTCATTTTTGGGTTATAAGATAATTAATCTTTGATACCGTTGATTAAAAATGAAAACAGCAAATTAGAAGAATTTATATAATGACAACAGTAAGATTACAAAATATGATCGTCACTGGAAGTGAACATAAAAGAAAAGCATAATCGAAATAAAAACAACTGAATGTATTTTTAACTGTTTCACTTAATGAAATGCCTCTCGAATTAACAGAACAGAAAATATGTAGTTTCGTAATATTTATATTTATACAAAAGACAAACTTTTTTTGGAGGATAAATTCTACAATTGCGAAAGATCTGTTTACAGCTCTTGAACTGAGTAGTTAATAACCTTTGCAAAAATGTAATTTAAATACAACTTATAACAACTTCGAACACATAATAAATTTGAGAATTCAACAAGCGATAATAGAAAATGGACTTTTAAAATTCATGAAAAACAAGAAGTCTACACGGAAGTGAGCCACATTTATCTTGAAATAGAGTAAAAATAAGTGCATTCAAAAAACAGTAGTGCGATCCGTTAGATTTCGAAATTCACAAATTTTATAAATTTTTCTGTCGCTAAAGCAACCACGAAGTAGAGGACAACTATTCCAGATGTGAATTTCCATCAAACCGGATGATTGAAATGAAACAAAAGAAAAAAGTCGCTTTAAGCGATTAGCACCAGTAGTCTAATGTCAAGTTTGAAATGTAGATTGAAACTAGTCTATTTAACTAACAACATATAATTTTTCGTCCGTTCATGAGACCACCAAATACAGAAAAAAAGATGGAAAAATAGTGAATGAAAGATGCTTAAGCAGTAAAGAGATTATTACCTATTGAACTTTTTACCAGCAGTTTCTTGATTATTTTGTAATATATCATTTTAGAGAAGAAAATGGACAATATTCAAGCCACTTTTTTCTTTGGATAACTGAAGCAAACCTCATCACCGAAGATAACCAAAGACATTTACATCATCGAAGTTCCGATATATTGGCAAAGAGTTTTTGAAGCGTTACAGCAAACTGGACACCATGGATTACTCGACTGTAATGTAAAATAATATAACACAATTTAATGCATTATTCGATTTCAAAAATCATGGCACATTTTGGTGCCTTAAAGATGAAATGAGTGAAATACGGACATTTATTATTCCTTATCCGCATTATACCCTTTTTTCTAATAAATCCCTGTATTTTAACAGACTGCATTGAATAACAATTTTTATTTTTCAAAAAATCATTGCAATGCAAACAGTACCCACTAACAATATCAATTTTGTTTACCTCAACGACTTAATTTTATAATATAATAGCGTGTCACTCTTTACAATTATTACGCGAAAATTTGTTAAATTGACTATTTTCGGTCGAAAATCTAGTTGTTAAAAATATTAGACACAATAAAACAACAGCAATAAACAAACTTGTTATACTGAAACATAAATTTCTTGGCACTTTCATGTTGTTCGAAGATGAGAGACACTGTATTTTCGGAAGATTTCCAAACTTTCTGAAGGGATAAATAAATTACTAAAATTCAATTAAAAGATATAATGATAACTACTCTGACATAAATTAAACTATTGAATGAAAACGATTACAAATTAGTTTTTACTACGGCATCTATGAGAAAATTCGCAGATCATAATACCTTTGTAGATCCGATAGTTTCAGCAATGATTCTTATTCTATCCACACTGATTGGTGCTAAATTCAATGAATTCACCACAACAACCAAATAAGCCCTTTTCTTACGCATTCCCTCTACTTGCTGATCACTTTCTCGCTCAGTGTATCGTGATGCTATCATTTTATTTGCTGCAACTTCTTTGCCAGAATCATTCAGCAACATGGCAGATTCATTTCTCCGCGACACATTACTAATATTAATACCACCAGATGCCATTTTCTCGACACAAATTGGCAGATTTCGCCTAAGACTCTTTTGTACAATGCCAATATCAGCACCACGCTCCGGTCCCTTAGTACCATTTTTGATGCTACTTATTTTTCGTATTTTATCATCACATTCCCTTTTTCTGGAATGCCCTTCATCTATTCCTCGATCACGATCTATTCGCCGATCGTTAAAATTTGCAGCGTGACTCACGTTTCGTACAATTTTTTCATCAGTCACGGTGAGTGGATCTCTGCGTCTGACAGATTGGATTCGTCGTTCTTCTTTCCTACGCAAAATTTCTTCACGCATCTTCTTCTGCTCTTCCAATTTGTGCAAATAGTCATAATCTAAACCAATTGCTTTCGCACACTCAATTGTTTTCTCCTGAAATAATTTATGATATATAATTTTTTCAAATCCTATCCTTATTTTAAACCAGCTAGTGGTATGATCTGATCTCTATCAATAAAAAACAGTGAAAGCACTTCAGAAGTAAACCTGCTTAGTGATATCATTTAATTCATTTCTACTGCGTTCGGAATAAAACATTGAATCTTTCCGATTGTCAGTTGACTGTCTTAAGCGATCACCAGGATGTCGTCTTATTGTTTCATTTCTAAAGTTTTTACGTGAAAGATAGTTTAATTCGAACTCTGTAAAATGATTAACAACACTAATATGCATGCCTTAAGTGAACAAACGAAAAATTGAAGAATTGCAAAAATTTTAAACATTTCTGGCCTTGAACGATAGCTGAATGGACGACGTGATGACGAACGGTGGTTGCGTGAGTGAACTCGACGATAAGGTGATCTAGATGAAGAACGTGAAGATACAGTAGAACTTGAGGAATGAGATGAATAAGAACGCGACCTAAAAATTCATATTCGTGAAGCTGACGTGAAAATATAAGTAATTGTATTTGATAACTTGAAAAAAAATTAACAATAATAAAACTATATTATTAAAAAATGGGCATAAAAAATACGTTCAACACACAAATGTTACATTAATTTTGTAGAGAACAAGAAGAAATAAATTTAAAACTTTAATTTTATCTGTTATAATACAATGACATAAAAATTTGCTGCATTGAACAACAAGAAATTAAGCCTAAAAAATTCAAGCTTTTTTATTTCATTAAGCACAACTATTTAAATAATGAACTAAATAAACTCTAAAAAACCTGTAATGCTACCATCCTAAAATTCTTAAAGAATCATTTATTAAGTTCCTTTTTTCAATGAAGAATCATTCTTCATTGAAAATCCAGAACTGATATTCACAAGCTCATTTTAATTCAAAAGGGAATTAAATAATACACAGAGTTGTATAAAGTGTCTAAACTAATCATCTGCTAATGAACCTTGAGCGTGAACGTGAAGATCGAGGGGAACGTGAAAAACGAGATCGACTGCGAGCTGTTGTACGACGCAAAAAACCTTCTACCATTTGGTCCCATTGCCCAACAGATGGAATTGAGCCAACAGATTCAACCACAAACTGATTAGGAACAATTAGTGGAGGTGGAGTTGAATAATTTGGAAGTGGCATGATTTGAGGTGGCGGTCGCGAAAAATCAGCAGATGATGATGGAACGATCTGTAAAGAATTACTATGAATGAATACAACGATTCATCATCTTGTATTTCTGAAAAACAAAAAATATAGAAATTTAATAAGATACACCAGTACCAGACCGTACAAAAAACTTCAAATATTAAGTTCTTGAAGATATCTTTAACACCAAAATATTTACCCAATAACTTCCACTTACAGGAAATGGGAGAGGCTGAGGCAACATGAGGACGTTGTTCGGTGGAGGAAGAACTACTGGAGGTCGTATGCTCGCTATATTACACATTGCAATAGGAGCTTCCCACGGCAGCGGCACTACAAGCAGTCAATACGAAATCACGAAAAATTATAAATGAAACTTATTATTTAAGAGAAATCATAAATGCTAATTTACGACTAAAAGATTAAAAATGCATATGGCAGCCGTTACTTTCATTTAATTAGACTATTTACATTCTTTTAGACATAAATAATCTTTGCCTTTCAAAATAATGTCATTTTATCACTCATATTAGAATCTCGATTTGTTTATGAGCAAGATTTTCATGAAAATTACTCAGAAGGAGAAATTATGAAAAATTGTAAAATATCCATCATGAGAACTTATTTATGAGATCTTGACTATATTACTTTCCTACTAATTTGTGGAACCCTTGTTACGTTTTAGCTGTTCATGAGAAAAAATTTTCAAAGGTATGAATTTGAAACAGTAAATTGTGATCAGTATTTTATAAATACTGCATACTGCTTATATCATAGCTGTCTGGAGCAAAACAAAATGCTATGCTAAAAACTATTCTAACAATTGAGGGATGCCGATGCTCTTGGCCTAATAACGTTTTTATGATGAGGATTGATGAAAACTTTTGGTGTACGCGCTGCAGTTGGCGTCCCGCTTTTTACCAGTCGCTCTTTTGTTGTCGCAAATGAGTTTTTCTCCGAGTTCACTGATTTGATCTTCAAAATCTTATTATTCATATCTCTGAATACATAATTCCCATAATATAATTTTGATCTATACCCACTAATAATACTTCTCACATTAAAATGTTTTGAAGAATGTGCACAGCGCCTCAAAAATTTCTACATTTATAGAAGAAAACCATAAAAGATCTAACTCAATGAAATTTGCAAGAAAATAGGCGAACACTTATTTTCATTGTATGATTTGTTAACAAAGACGTCCATAATAAAATATAGATATCTGTAAAAGCCAACAAAAACTATGCAGAAATTACTAATCTCATAAGAGAGCAAAACGATTCACCATTTTGTTAACTGCGATGTTATCTGAAGCATTTCGATTTTTTTTTTCGTCTTGAGATATTTCATTGAGAGAAGAACGTTTCTGCGTCAATGCCCAAAACAGATACGATGCATGATAAACTCCGATTACATGGCAAATTTATACTACATAAACTAAGAACTTAATAAAATATGGCTTTATTCCTTATAATTAGTACAAGAAAACGAACTCTTTCAGAACTGAATTTTGACAAACGTGGTGTTTTTTCAGTTTCTAAATCCTCATCATAATCAAGTTCTTCAGTTTCTTCATGATGTAGCCCGCTTTCCTCCCTCACACTTTCATCATCTTGAATGTCTTCATCACCCAATATGGCCAATTCATCCATTTCACTTAGGTTACCAGCATCCTATGAATATTCAACTTTAAAAATAGAAACTATCATTATAATTATATTATTCATTTCCGTTTAAACAAAGTCTAAAATGGGATTACATAAGAACATCGATAAATCTGTCATTTTTTACAGTAACAACGCTTCACTAAACCACCAGAAACAAAAAATTTCAAATATTAAGTAATTATTAACATAGAACTTACAAATGTACTAGCACTATCCAGAAATAATTCATCTTCGTCCATTTTCAGCGTCTTTCGGAAATTCGACTACCCTTAAAGGTATTTATAACCAAACATTAACAGCATTATTTACAATCACAATGTGCAACCAATTATTTCATGACTGAACAAAATAAAGACTGAAATGAAGGTATAAAAACTAATTTATTAACAATCAAAAATCATATTTACAAATATAAACATTAAAAAACATGAACAGTCAGAAATTATATCAACTGTATTTTGTGAACACAAATTAGGACAATAGTGGATAAAAAGGAAATAGAAAGCAAGGAGAAATACAAAAACATTTTTACATAAAGTATTATAAAAGAGAAATTTTTCTGTTACTGAAGTAAAAGGCTCGGAACTGATACAACTATAGATATAACTAATTTACGACAAAAAAAATAAAAAATAAATTATAATCATTAAAAGGCAGAAATATCCAAAGCACGTACAATACTTAATAAAATACGACATCAAACTGAAACCAAAAATAAATACACCTAGCTTTGGCGCTTTTTATAAGTGTAAACTATTTCACTGCAACGTACAAAACGAAACAAAACTACTTACTGTATTCAAGAATTGATAAACCAGGATACCATTTGCATGACACTTGCGTTGTGTGACTTAGGTTTATTTTTGCATTTTATTTACTTGCATCATTATGAAATTATTTCGTTTCAAGTAGTGTTACGTTAGCAGCGCATTAAGTGAGCGATTTTAAGAAAGCATATGTTTATTAAATTTTTCTTGAAATGATTGGTGCAAGAGACGATATTCAAAGCTTATGGATGCAAGAATTTTTGAAGTTTTGGACAAAATTTGTGCTCAAGTATAAAAGGAATTGCATTTGTATACATTTTTGCTACGAAATGATTTTGAAAATGTCAAAACAAAGCGAAGCGTACATCAAAGTATACGAAATTTGCGTGGAATAAAAGGACTCATAAATGCATATTAATTGCAGCAAAATAAATATGCAAATGCAGCAGATAAGCTCTAGGCGCTGCCAAGCGTATGCCACAGATTATTTGTTGCAGAATCTGACATTTTTCAATAGCTTTGAAATAAATATTCTCTTGAGCAGATTGAAAATGAAGAAAAATTGAAAATTTTCAAATAATTATTCATTTGCAGATAATAGTAGTGACTTTATTTTACTTCATTTCCAATACGAATATGAAAAGAGTGGAGGTTAGTTTTAATTTTCGCTTTATTGGTTCTGGCGCTGGATCGCATTCCGACACTCTAACAGTACTTGTCCCCGCACTCAGATTTGTTGCACTCATCTTCCTCGTGGAATCCATAACGATTAGCTTGTTCAGGCACGTGTACTATTCCTGCTTTTCACTATTCCAAGGTATTTGTACGCTTAAGAGCAAGTATGAGATTCATCCCCCTCATACACTTCTTGGCCTCTTTTAAATCTTTACCTCCAAATTTTTTACAGATCAAAGTCTGTTCTATGAGGATTTTGTAGAAATTCAACAATCTTATCTTCTTTTCTACGCTTGCCTTCCACCCCGATGGCTACTTCTCTCCTTATTATGTTTTCATAACACTGTTGTGCTGCCTGGAACTCTTTTGCAATATCAGTTATTGACTTTGGGAGATTCTGTGTAGCATATTCACCCACCGCTTGGTTTACTGCTCCAAGTATAAGCGAGTCAATGTTCTACGACATTATTTTCTACGTCCACTTTGTCTGGTTTATCTCACGTCTCTGTGCTTCTTGCATCAGCACTGGGTATTTCTCTTTCACATCTAGATAAACCTTAGACTCGTGTAACGTGCTTTCCTCGAAGTGGTATTTTGTAGATTGAAACGTTTCGTGGACAAGAACCGTTACTGTGAGCACGGACGACCTGCAATACTGCTGATCACAGAATTCGCTTGCTTCTTCAGTCCTTCGAGGAAATAGCACACAAAAACTTTTTGCTATTCAGGGAACGATGCAATGGCCATCTCCCTCTCGATATCCTCTCGAAACGGTCAAGAATCACCATCAGCACTTCACCTAGTCAGCTGCTTTGCGAAATTTCGATTCCACGAACGAGTACTTGAAGCATGATTCCACGAACGAGTGCTCTGGCACCGGATTCTGGTACAATGATAGAATGTGCTTTCAGGCCTTTCACATAGCTTTTTCCGACCGCATCTGCTTTTGCATTGTTTCATTTATGATTCCAGATGCGGACTTTTTCCTTTTACCTTCCATTTTATGCTTATGTTTCTTGAACACAGCCGCTCAAGTCAACCTCGGAGTTAACGCTCATCAGCGGAGCCAAAAAAAACAAACTTTATTTCTGCCTTTATTTGGATAAATGTTAGGGAATTTGGAGGTTTTTTTTTTTAATTTTTTACCAAAATTTTATTTGAAATTATTATTTTTACCTGTTGGGTTCAAAAACCTAAGAATTACTTCATTTAAGAATGATTTGAGTTTAATTTTTCTCTCCACCAATTTTCACTATAAAATGAATTATTAATTTGAATTAATTTTGTATCTCATAACTTGTTATTGACATAAAACCGCCCAAAATTAATTCATATTGATTGCTAAAATATAAGTTATCATGAAAAAACATAAAAAGCTAAGAGTGTTTTTATAAAATTATTAGTAAAGTATTAATTATCAGTCAAGTAATGCTTTTTATATTTTTATTTTGATTGAAGTTTTTCAAAAAAAGCTATTTTAGATGCATAAAAAATCAGCTAAAAAGTATAAAGCGATTAATTTGTGAGCATTTATCACAGTTGCCTTCTTAACTGTGTATGATATATTCTTTAGGTATGCGCGAATCAGAAATTGATTTTATAATATTCTGAATTTAATTCCAAAGCAGTTTGTCAGAATTGATAAAACTGAAATATAATTTTGATATCACAAAAGCTGAGAATCAAACAGTTTTCATTGTGCTAGAATGATTAGTGAGTGAATTCATGCTTATTTCTTAGCATTCTGTACTAAGAAGACGAAACGTGTTGAACTTTCGTGCAATCATTTGCTGTTTGCTTGCATTTTGACAAGCAAAAAGTATCGGTAACTTTGGTGGAACGAAAGAAATGACAGACAAAACTTGATTAACGGCCTTTTCGTAGAAATAATGTGTGAACAAAATCTGCACATCAATATTTTATTTTGCACCATGTCACTTTTGTTTTGGTTTTGAGCATCATCAATTCTTTTTTTTTTAGTTGATCGCACGTCACGTCACGTCATTCAAATTTCTACTGGAATCATTTTTTTGTGTTAAAAAAAACATTAATGCATTCATGTCACCGTTTGAATGTACAGCATAAATAGTCGAGAATTGATCAGTGCTTTCTATTGGTTAGATACACTGAACTTCGCGCTGGGCAAGGGCAGTAATGAGCATCTGGTCCAGGTAGACCTGGGCTGCCGCGCTAAAATTTCACGCATAAAATTTCACACAGTGAAAATAGCTTAGTGTATTTGTTTTTAAGTATGAAAAAAAATGCTAAATTATGCGATTTAATTTAGAAATTTTTATGAAAAAACTTTGGTAAAGTAAATTTTGTTTAAGTAAGGAAAAAATGCAGCATAAAAAAGAATCAATTACAAACCCAAATGAATATTACTTAGTACTCAAAAGCTTTGAATCAAATACGAACCCAAATGAACTGCACAATTTTATGCAGTTCTCTCCAACTGGTTAATCTTGCTTTGAATTAAAATAAATAAATGAGTAAGTGAATGGTTTCATCAGTGAAACGGTATTTATTGAAATTCAAACTCAATTTAACGGGTGAAATTAATAAGAAAATGACCTGTCCAGGACGTCCATCTTTGCCATTCCTACCGTCCTTTCCAGCTCTTCCAGCAGGACCTTGTGCGCCTTGTTCTCCATCTGTACCTTTTGCTCCAGCAGGTCCCACTGGGCCAAGTTCTCCTCTAGGTCCATTTTTACCTTTCGGTCCTTGAGGTCCCACACCTCGTTTTCCATCTTTACCAGGTGGTCCAGTTCTTCCAGGTTTTCCTTCTGGTCCTTGTTCACCTATTTCACCGCTTGGTCCTTGTAAACCACGTGGTCCATTCTTTCCTGGTCTTCCAGGTCTTCCAGGACGTCCAGTTCGTCCGAAATCTCCTTCTGATCCTTCTGGTCCTGGTGGTCCTGGTCTTCCTCGAGGGCATTCGATGCAACCACCAGGATAATCATATGTAGCTAATAGAGATACCCCACTTACACCCGGTCTGCCATCATCACCATCTCTTCCATCAAGACCTTTTTCACCTTTGTCCCCGGGTAGTCCTGGTGGACCAGGAGGACACAACTCAGGAGCTGTGCATTCTGTAATCATTATTGTTACAAATTTCAGCTTTCCGTTGCTTACTGCTGCTCACTAAAGCATTATATCAAAAAATAACTGAATTAAATTTGTATTTAATTTTACTTTAACAAATTAAAAATATCTCACGGCAATGTGGTGGATAAATTTGCCGTTTGTAACGATTGATGAGATTTGAGAATGATTGAAGACCACCGCTGCCTGAACGGGAATGAAGTACTACTATCCTTTCCCAAGTATCGTCTGCAACTATCTAAAATGTAGAACATTTTCATCTAAATTTTGTCACAGTCCATAAATATTGAAACATTATATACTTGCTAACTATTACAGATTACGGTGAATTTGGCAGCATTAAAAATAATAAAATACAAAAAATTTTAGTAAAATTCGATAATTTCTGCTTTATTGCATCGCATTAATCTTTTTTCACTCCTTCATAACATTATTTTCAAATCAAACTACTAAAGTTATTTGCACTTATAGGTATCATATTTTCCTACTACCATAACTTGCTAACTTTTACAAGTTGACAAAAATTATATACCAAAATAAGTTATGTGAAGAAGGATATACAGAGCATCAAACTATTCTCTTTGCGCCAAATTATAACAACACATTAATTTCTAACTGCAAAGCAAATCTGGAAATTATGACTTACCCTGAATGTGCCAATTTCATCCATAACATCGTCATATAAATTGTTAATGTCGCTAAATATGACGCAAACTGCAACCAGAGACATGACAATGAAGCAGGCGCAACTCGCCGTCGCGAAACCAACCATTGTTTTGACACTCATTCTGCGCCCTGAAAACTTTCTGCAAATTTTTGCAATTTAACAAAAGTCAGATCCGTGAATAATACTGCTGTGTACAATTATGCAATTATTAGCTCAGTAGAACACAAACAATTAATTTTAAATTGAAGAAAGATAATATTCAAGAAATGAATATAAATATATTTCAAATGAGTAGCGAACTTTTACAAAATAGCAAGACCTAAAAACATTCCATACATTCTAACTGCCATAATAATGCAATAATTTACTCGAAATTGCATTAAGGCTTTAAAAAAAGAGTTTAATTGCCTTGTGTGAAACTCTTTTTTTAATTTTACAAGCATAAAAACCTAAAATATTACTGAAATTTGTTAAAAACTTCAAAATTCCTATTTCATACATTAATAGTTTCATGTCAAATGTTTTCATCTATCGAAGAATTTTATGATGATTTTTAACGCACTTAAAGAATTAGTTTATTTCAAAAAAAAACTTTAAGCATATAAAATTTTCACATTTTCAAATTTAACAAATGTTACGAAAATTGAATTTTATTAAATTTTAAAACAAATTTAGTCATTATGAAAATAGTTTAGATCTGAAATCGTATAAAAAATAAGATGCCTTAGAAACGTTTTTTTAAGACTGCTTGAAGTATGATAATTAGATTTTTCATTTTTTTTAAAAATATTCCAATTTTAACTGCAACAATATTAATATATGTAATGACAATTTGATTCAATTCAAATTTAAATCTAAAAGTATTTTGTTGGAAGAAAAATTTGCTTTGTGAATTTTTCATAAAATCTATTTGAAAAAGTAATTTTGAGAAAGGCCGTATGCATGGAATTAAAGGCAAAATAAAAATTACTGAAGTGTTTTTGACAAGTTTATAAAGGCATTTTCAGTTCCACCCTTGCGTCTTCCCCATTTGAAATGAGTAAAAAAGTACAAAATATTTGAGAAATAGTTGAAATAAACGTTTTGTTTGCCTGCACATTTATTCATTACTCTTGCAAGTAAAATTCGCGCAGAAACAAATCAAAAAAAACGAAATAGTGAAAGATACTTTTACCAAATTGCCATTTTCGTCTGTTTTTTTGAGCACTTTTAGAGATAAATTGATAGAAAAATGATGGAATAGAATGAGAAGAGAAGTTCTGAATTGTATCCGCTTGTAAACTAGTTTACTCAATTACATTTGATCAACACAAATGATAACTCTAAAATAGTTGTGATTGCATGCATTCTTTACTCATTCCTACATTCCCTCGTTCATTCATTCACTCATTCACTCATTCATTCATTCAGTTAGTT